AACGATGAGGGTCCTGATGACGACGACGGCGACGACTACGACGAAGACGAATCGGATGAACGGGCGGCCGTCCGCCGCGGCAGAAGCGGACGGCCGGCCGAGGCCGCGGCGAGCGCCCAAGAGATCTACGCGGCGGCCTCTGCTGAGAGAAAGTCTGCGCTGCAAGGCTCTTCTCAGCAAGGGCACCCGGGTGCCTCTGCTGAGAAGGCGTGGGTCTGACCCCGGGATCGCCCGCTGGGCGTGATGAGACGACGCCCTCCAAGTAGAGCTTGTTTCATCAGGGCCAGACGACGATCCCAGGGTCAGACCCACGTCCTCTCAGAGGCACCCGCGTGCCTCGCTGGGAAGACCCCTACAGCGCGAGCCTCATCTCAGCAGACGCCGCCGTGTAGATCCTAGACGTTCGCCGCGCCACGTGCTCTCAGCAGGGCCGCTGGGTTGGCCTTGCCGAGAACGCGTAGAACGCGGCAAACGCCTAAGACCCCAGGGGCAGGGGGCTCGATCGGAAGCGAACCGTTGTTGGTGTCGGCTGTATCTTCTGTTGAAATACCGATGCCGATCATGGCTTGGTACCGGTACCTGTACCGGCATCGGTACTGGTATCGATAGCGATACTGCTACCGACAGGCGCATAACCGTTCTTAGCATCAACATTCGCACAGTCCAAGGGGGCCCTGCGGGAGTCTGGAGGAGAGAGGGGGCTGCAAGGAGGAGCAGGAGGGGTATGGGGGGAGATGGAGGAGGCAGCAGCAGAAGGAGGACCAGGACAAGGATGGAGCGGATAAGCATCACCAACATACCGATTTATAGGCTCAGTCCAGCATCCCCGAGAGCGATTTTGAGCCAGGGTGGCTCCAAATATTGTTCGCGCGTCCACCGAATCATCGTCCTCCCGCCCCTGATTTGCCTGCTCCCTTGTCATCATCACAGTCGTCGTCCTCTCCCTTCCCAAACCTCCTTCTCCTCCCCCTCCTTCTCCTCCCCCCTCGTCCCGTTCCTCCTTCTCCTCGTCTTTCCTCTCCCTCCTCCTCTTTTTTTTCTCACTATCACCATCGTGTTCCTGATGTTATTCCTCCTGGTTCTTCTCGCCCCACCTCGCTCTCCTGGTTCTCCTCCTCGCCCTCAAAGTTCTCCTCTCGCTGGAGATTTCAACGTGTACCAGGGCGTGTCAGAAATTCACGTTCTCGCCTCGGCGCCGGCTAACTGCCCCCTCGGGGCAGGGGCGCCTGGACCCCTCCTGGGGCGCAACTCGATATTAGCAGTGTAATGTAACAGGAAGCTTGGGCCTGGCCCCATCTGACTCCTCCTCTCCCACCTTTCGGAGCCCCTTCTGTGAGGATGTCTCAGGCAAAACTGACTGGGCTACCTCGCGCGCGGCATCTCGGAACCCAGAGTTGCGAGGAGGTCTCAGGCGAAATTGGCCCGACCATCTCTCGCGCGGCATTTTGGAGACCAGAATTGCGAGGATGGATCAGGCAAATCTGGCCGGAGTACCTCGAGCGCATCATCTCTGTGCCGGGAGTTGCGGGGATGCATCAGGCCATATTGGCCAAGCGACCTCGGGCGCGGCATGTCTGAACCCAGAGTTGCGAAAATGTCTCAGGCGAAAATGGGCCAGATCACCTCAATTCAGGAGCATCTCTGAGCCCAGAATTGCGAGGATGTCTCAGGCGAACCAGACCGGACAACCTGACGCGTCGCAATTTCGAGCCCAGAGTTGTGAGGATGTCTCTGGCGACATGGGCCAGATCACCTCAGGCCACAACAGTTCAGAGACTGAAGTTGCAAGGATGTCTCAGGCGAAACGGGCCCGACCACCTCGCACGCGGCATCTTTGAGCCTGGAGTTGCGAGGATGTCCCAGGCGAAACAGGCTGGACCACCTTATGTCAGAGTATCCCTGAGCCCGCGCGCGACATCTTTGAGCCCAGAGTTGCGAAGATGTCGCAGGCAAAATTAGCCGGACCGCTTCGCACGCGGCATCTCGGAACCCAGAGTTGCGAGGAGGTCTGAGGCGAGTTTAACTGGGCCACCTCGCGCCTGGCATCTCGGATCTCAGAGTTGCGTGAATGCCCCGGGCGAATGGGGCCAGACCACCTCAGGCCATGGCATGTCTGAGCCCAGAGTTGCGAGGATGTCACAGGCGAGTCGTGCTGGACCAACTCAGTCAGAGCATTTCCAATCCCAGAGTTTCGATGATGCATCTGGCGAAACGGGCCCGACCACCTCGCACGCGGCATCTCTGAGCCTGGAGTTGCGAGGATGTCCCAGGCGAAACAGGCTGGACCACCTTATGTCAGAGTATCCCTGAGCCCACGCGCGACAACTTGGAGCCCAAAGTTGCGAAGATGTCGCAGGCAAAATTAGCCGGACCGCTTCGCACGCGGCATCTCGGACCCCAGAGTTGCGAGGAGGTCGGATGCGAGTTTAACTGGGCCACCTCGCGCCTGGCATCTCGGATCTCAGAGTTGCGTGAATGCCCCGGGCGAATGGGGCCAGACCGCCTCAGGTCAGGGCATGTCTGAGCCCAGAGTTGCGAGGATGTCACAGGCGAATCGTGCTGGACCAACTCAGTCAGAGCATTTCCGATTCCAGAGTTTCGATGCTGCCTCTGGCGAAAATGGGCCAGACCACCTCGCGAGAGGTTTCTCGGAACCCAGAGCTGCGAGGAGGTCTCAGGCGAAGTGGGCCCGAACCACATCAATCCAGGACATATATGAGCCAGGATTTGCAAGGATCCTCAGGCGAGCCGGGCCGCACCTCTTCGCGCGCGGCATCTGGGAGCCCAGAGTTGCGAAGATGTCTCAGGCGAAATTGGCCAGACCACCTCGCGCGTGGCATCTCGCAGAGTTGGGGAGGATGTCTCAGACGAGAATGTCTGAAATAAGCTTTTCCAGATCACCTCGCGCTCGGCATGTCTGAGCCAAGAGTTGCGAGTATGTCTGAGGCGAAACGGGCTGGACATCCTCAGGTTAGGGGCATATCTGAGCCCAGAGTTGCGAGGACGTCTCAGACGAAATAGACTGGACCACTTCGCGCGTGGCATCTTGGATCCCAGAGTTGCGAGGATGAGTCAGGCGAAATGGGCCAGGCCACCTTGCCCCTGGCAGCTCGGAGCCCAGAGTTGCGAGGAACTCTCAACGCAACGCAGCGCAGCGCAATTGGAAGTGACGCAACAGAAATGCAATCCCATGCGTTGTAATGCCATGCCATGCAATGCAATGCAATGCAATGCAATGCAATGCAATGGGTATTCCATGCAAGTGCAATGCAGCATATGCAAAATGCAAGTGCAGATGGGCATGAGACAGAGGCTTCCACTGTGGGGGATGCGGGATAAAGAGAGAGAGAGAGAGAGGAGAGAAGGAGCGCGATGAGGAGGATGTGGAGTTGTTTTCCAGGTCTCTCCATGCAACTTGGCATGAACCACAGTGCAACACCAGTAGCAGGAGGCGCGGCTGGCAACAGGATCCAGCACATCGGAAGCGAACTTAGCAGGAACACGACGAGGGCCGCCGAAAGCCGCCGAGGGCCGCCGAAGGCCGCCAGGGGCTGCCGAAAGCCACCGGCGGCCGCTGAAGGCCGCCGAGGGGCGACGAGGCAGAGGAGGGGGAGGAGGGGGAGGGGGAGGAGGAGGAGGAGGAGGAGGAGGAGGAGGAGGAGGAGGAGGAGGAGGAGGAGGAGGAGGAGGAGGAGGGAGGAGGAGGAGGAGGAGGAGGAGGAGGAGGAGGAGGAGGGAGGGGGGGGAGGAGGAGGAGGAAGGAGGAGGAGGAGGAGGAGGAGGAGGAGGAGGAGGAGGAGGGGAGGAGGGGAGGAGGAGGAGGAGGAGGAGGAGGAGGAGGAGGAGGGGGAGGAGGAGGAGGAGGAGGAGGAGGAGGAGGAGGAGGAGGAGAGGAGGAGGAGGAGGGGGAGGGGGACGAGGCAAGGAGGAGGAGGAGGAGGAGGGAGAGGACGAGGTGGTAGTAGGACGTGAAAAGAGGAAGGAAGGGGAGGAGGACAGGAGGAGGAAGTGGAGGAGGAGGAGGAGGAGAAGGAGGAGGACGACGAGGAGGAAAAACAAGACCAGCAGCAGGAGGCGGAGCTGACAACTGGATCAAGCACATCTGGAGCCCACTTAGCAGAACAGAAGCCCACTTAGCAGGAACACGACTTCAATGTTCCCCCCCTCCCCCCAGAAGTTTCAGAGGAGGGAAAGGCTCGGAGGTGGATAGACCTCGTACCCTGACACGTCGATTAAGGAATTGGCCGTTTTCGGTTCGCGAGAGGGCGTCGCGGCCGTCATTTTTGCGGGTCCAGGTCCGTCGGTTTCGGTCCCAGGCCGTTTTCATTAAGGGGAGGTTTACTAAAGGGAGGTTTGTCCACCGCCGAAGAGCACCCACACCGCGACCCTTCCCTCGTTTTCCCTTTCTGGCCTCCTAGGTGGCCCTCGTCGCCACCGCTGGATTCGCTTTGAAGTTCTGGTCAGGACCAACTCCGGGAGAGGTCTGGGGAGTAGCAGTATGGGTACTTGCTGGCTTCCCCGACATCCGCCAATTCTTTTTCACAATCCGCGGCCCCAGCGCTCACTACCCCTTCCCCAGGGGTAGGTCGTTTTTTCGCGCCAGATCCGTGCCTGATGGCCTCGGAATGCCAATACACCCCAGGGGCCAAAATCTAGGAACAACGCACGGATTGGAACATCAGCTCCTCCGACATTTGGCATGTAGGGCTTCGGGCTGCGCGCAGACAGCCCCCCCAGGTATTCCCGGCCTGCCTCAGTAGGCCCCCCGAGTAGTCCCAGCTGGTCTCAACAGGCCCCCCGAGTAGCCGGGAGCGGTCTCCACACCCCGGCGCCGCCTCCAGCGGCGCCTTGAGACCGCCTGGGCTGCTCGGGGGTCCTGCTGAGGCCAGCTGGGACTACTCGAGCGGTCTGCTGAGGCCAGCCGGGGCAATCTGCGGGGGCTGTCTGCGCGCCACCCGGAGCCTCACCAGACATGGGCCTCGCGCCCCCTCTCGCCGAAGGCCACGCCCCGCGGGCCCCACGCTGGCGGCTTCCCCGGCGCCGAGTCTTACACGCTGAGACTGCTCGTCCTGCCACTGGGTGGGCTCGGCGCGGCGGGCGCCATGACGGTGCTCAACACGGTGTCCTGGGCAGTTCCACGGGGGGGTCACCACGAGGGGGCGGAGTAGACGCCATGACGATTTCACATCACAAAGCACATACCCTGACCCCGTAGAGCGGCGAGACGACAAGTAACAAACAAATGCGCACGAGCAGCAAAAAACTCTGATACCAAGCACAGAAGCTGCGCCACGCCATCTTCCTGAATGAAGCAATTGTGACAGATCACGGTGCCGAACACGGTGTCCGGGCAGTGCCATGGGGGGTCATGTCCGTGTTGCTCATGGCGGCACCTGCCAATCCAGACATGTTGGCGTCGTGGCAAGAATCGCACCGGAAGGTTTTTGGCCGTTTTTGGCCTATGGGGGCCTCCGCGGGGTCCCTAGATCAGCATAGTACACAATCGGGAATGAGAAACCAGCCCTGGGTAGAGCAGCGGGAATTCGGGGACCCCCTTACTAAAACAATCAAATCAAGCCATCGGACACCATGGAGGGGGGGTTACCAGAAAGGGGACACCATTTGGCATCCACTCGTGTGCACAGTGTTTGAGGTAGCTCAATGGCTTCACGATTGCGCCACCGAGCTTGACACCGTGATGCTGTCTTTCTCACTGAACCTCCAACACAGGCCCACATGCTCGAACATCGAGGTTCCGGCATCGAAGCTCGCGGGTTTTTGTTGGGACTTCTGCGACGCTTCTTTGGCCGGCTCCAGATTGTGTGCTCTCGGGGGCCCACCCTTTCGAGGGATTGCGTTGCTTCCTCGAGGAAGTGGCATACCACCCCTAGTGGCAAACCCCTTGCGGCGGCGAGCGAGGGGGGAAAGCGAGAAGAAGAAGAAAAAGAAGAAGGCCTCCTCCGCAGGCGGCGGGACTTCTCAGAAGCCCTCGCGCCTTCTGAGAATTTTCTATGTCTTCGGGGAAGGTCTCGAAAAACTATTCAGAAGGTCGGGTGACTCCGAGCCTTCTCAGAAGTCCCGCCCCTGCTCACCTCGCCCCCATCGCTCGCTGCCAACTCCTGGCAGTATCCCAGGTGTGGGAGCTTGAGGCCGCGCCGGTGTGCCTCTTCTTCTCGGACGTCCTGAACGACCCCAAGCCCGAGCCGTGGACCAGAGCAGGGCAACTGCACAGATCCGCCTCATTCTTCCCCCTGTCCCCCTCAGAAGGGAGGGAGGGAGTCAGGGGAGGGGGGAGGGAGGAGGGAGGAGGTGGACTTCTATGACAGTTCGATTCCGAGTGGATGTCGAAGGAGAAGAAACGGCACAAACGTCCGGGCGGCGCTGGGTTCCCCCTGTCGGCGTCTCTGGCGCCGCCGCTGGCGCCGCCGTTGGCGCGCTCCGCGCGCAAGTGATGGGGGGCCCAGGGTCGACCCGAGAGCTCTGCGAGGTCCTCCGGAAGTGGATGGCTCACAGTCTGTGTGTGTGCGCGTCTTTTCCTCACTACTCCAGGACCGTTTGGGCTCTGCGCTGGGTTCTCTGCTTCACGGCGATCTCGAGTACCGTCGAATTCAAGCGCACCTACTTGCCGCGTCAGGTGCATTGGGTCCTCTTGTTTCAGTGGCTGACCTTTCTGGTAGCGATGCTGACAGGATTCCGCCAGATCGACCCACCACAGGTGATCTACGCCTGCATGTACAAGGTGCATCAAATCATGGCTATGCTTATGTTCATCGAGCTTTGGTTGGAGACTGTCATGCTATGGTGTCCTAGCCCGCTCCTGCACGCGATATTCATGGTCACTGTGCCTATCAACGTGATTACCTTTGCGATCTCGGGCAAAGTGAATATGTGGACGGGCATCCCGTACGTTTATGGGCACCCGGAAATAATCTTGGAGTGGTTCATCATCCTCGCGCACTTTGTCATCGTGTGGATTCGTTTTCCGGCCGTGAGCACAGCAATAGCACATGGGACTTGGAGACCTTGGTTGTGCTGCTTCGCGGGCTTGTGCCCAGGCCTCGCGACCCAGCACGAGCAGGTCAAGGGGACTTCCTCTTACCGCCACCAGTCACATCCCCCCTCCCCCCTCGGGAGAAGACCCCGAGGTCTCCGGGGGTCGCCCCCCAGGTCCTGAGGGGATCCAGCGGGGGCCGAACGTGTGTGGAGTTGCCGATCTTCGAACTTCGAGCCTCAGACCTCCCTCCTCCCTCCCCCCTCCGCCTGTGTGGGTCCGCCGGCCCACGACGTCCGTGCGGACCTCCGAAAATTGTTGCTCGTGTGAGGTCGGGCATGTCCTCCTACAGGCGGAATTTGGAAGAAGAATAAAAAGCAGTCAAACATACGCCAAACTAGTCAAACATATTCGAAACATGCTAAACAAATCGCCCACAGATATTCACAACAAATATTCAAAAAATCGTCACGCCTGGTCCCCGATTTTTAAGCTTGGACCAGCGCCACCGAGGTCGGTGATTCCGCAATAAGTAACGGGGTGCCTCCGCAGTGTCGGCAGCGCGCAGGGGAAGGCGGCAGAGAGGCGCTACCCCCATCGCGTCTCGACGCACGGCGCAGGAGAGCGGCAGGAGCTTCACCATCGGGGCTCAAGAGACGGGTTTGTCATGATTTTTTGTTTGGGGGGTCGTTGTTTTCCGGATTCATCCAGCATTTCAAATGTTTGTATGTTTGTCTTGGTTTGTTTTCTATGCAAACGGGATCAGCAAGGGCGCCAGAGCTTGCAGGATCCTGCGGTGGCAGGGTCGCCCTGACCTGGGCTTAGGCGCAGGATCCTGCAGGATCCTGCAGGGCCAGGGTCGCATGGACCCGGGCTTGAGTGTAGGAACTTGCAGGATCTTACAAGGCCTGACTGATCATGGTTTGCACTGACCCGGAGCGGTGAGTTCTCGACGCAAGGCCATTGCATCGGCCAAGATCGCCGCCTTCGGGAAGGGTCGGGCGAAGTCGGGGGATCGGGACGCAGAGGAGGCCAAGGTACCCAGACCTCTACCCTTCTCTCGTTTGATTTGTTGTTCGACCTCCTGGGAGGCCCTCGTCGCACCCTGGGAGAGGCCCGGGGAGAAGCAGCATCGGTACTTCTAGGTTTCCCTATCGGACGGGGCAGGTGACACAGTCGGCGCACGCGGCGCAGCACCTTGCGCACTGGGCGCGCTGGGGCACCTGGGGCGTCCAGCGCACACGTGTGCGGGTGGCGCACCTCGTGAGCGTCGAGCCCCTGTCGCCTGTGCAGTCGGCACTGATTAGTAGGTCGATCCTGCAATCAAGGGTACCCTTTGTGTCCTGTGTCTCGCGACCTATGCCTCCTACATTCCTGTGGCAATGTTGTACTCGGAAGGGCCTTGTGCCCTCTCGCGTGTCCTGTCCAATCAAGTCCGTCTGTATGTGTTCGCAAGACTTCTGTCCAGGGGGGGGGGTACGAAACCTGTGGCCTTGGCGTCGCTCGGGCGTGTGCCTTTGTTCTCGGCGAGGCCAGCGCCAGAGAATCCCTGAGCATCCTGGAGCATCTTGGAGCATCTTGGAGCATCCTGGAGCATCCTGGAGCATCTTGGAGCATCTTTGAATCTCCATAGGGGGGAAACGCACGGACAACGAGATACTGCAGAGGGGCTGAAGATGGTCACGAGCGGAGGCACCTGGTGGATTTTTAGCAAGAGGGGAAGTCTGTTGCGTGCGGCCAGTTTGGGCCCCGCAGCGGGGCGCGTCGTCGATGCGTGGGCGCCTCCATCCAGCGCCGAGAGGCGCCTGGGAAACCAGCTAATCGCGTGAGCTGAGTCACACGCCCCCCCCCGTTGCTGTGCTGCCCCTCTCGTCCGCCCCGGCGGGGTGCCCCGCAGGGCAGCGCTGGCTTTCACAGACTGGAGGGTTCCAAAGGGGGGTTTTGGGGGAGGGGGGGTTCCAGAGAGCCCCCCAGTGGCCTCTGAACCTCGTCAAAACAAAGGGTGCGAAGCCCCTGGGGGACCGCTCCTGGAAAACCCCCTCCCCAAAAACCTCCTTTGGAACCCTTCGGACAGAGGGCGTCCCTACTGGCCGGCCAGGGCCATCCTGGGCTTCACGATGGTGTATAGACCCTCCTGGGCTCTGCCCAGACGTCCCCCGACATGACGGTGTCACTCTGCAGCCCCAGAGCCCTCGACCGGGCCCCGACCAAGGGCCCCGGAGGCCGAAATCAAGGAACGAAGTTCATGATGATGATGATGATGATGATGATGATGATGATGATGATGGTGTTGCTGATGATGCTGATGATGATGATGATGTTGGTGATGATGATGATGATGATGATGATGATGATGATGATGATGATGATGATGATGATGATGGTGGTGGTGGTGGTGGTGGTGGTAATGGAGGTGGTGAGGGTGATCGTGGTGGTGATGATGGTGATGACGACGACGAGGATGATGATGACGAGGAGGAGGATGGTGATGATGATGATGGCGATGTTCATGGTGACGGTGATAATGATGATGTCGATGTTGATGACGATGGCGATGGCGACAACGATGACGATAGTGATGATGATGCTGATAATGTTGCTGATGATGATGGTGGTGATGATGATGATGATTCTGGTGATGGTGATGGTGATGGTGATGGTGATGGTGATGGTGACGGAAAGGTGGTTGTGGTGATGCTGTTGATGGTGATGCTGATGAGTATGATGACGATGACGATGATGATATTGAAGTGATAATGGTGATGATAATGCTGCTGATGAGGAGGATCAGGATGTTGATGGCGATGTTGATGGTGATGGTCATCATCATGATGCGTTCGATACTGCGGCTGATGTTGTTGACGATGACGATGATGCTGATGCTGATGGTGCTGTTGATACTGATGCACATGATGATGTGTGAATGGTGGTGTTGGTGATGATGTGGATGACGACTACGATGCGGAGGAGGAGGAGGAGAGTGGTAAGGATGGTTATGCCGAGGCTGAAGATCATGATGGTGATGATGCTGCTGTTGCTGTCGATGATGATGATGACGATGATGCTGACGATGGTGATGATGATGATGATGATGATGATCATCATGATGATGATCATGATCATGATCATGATCATGATCATGATCATGAGGAGGAAAATAACGTGTTCGATTCTTAGCCAGGGGGACCGAGAGCGCTGACCACACGGGCCACGCACACAGTTCGGAAGCTCTGGGGAAAGTCAACGCTTCGCCGCGCCACGAACTACCAGACATTTCAGCAGCGCATCAACATCGCATACCCAGAACGAACAGATCATACCCTCGCAGACGTTGGTGCACCGTGCTAGGGCCCAGGATGGCCCCTGCCGGGCACGGCGCACACCGCGGGCGCCCCCCCTGCGTTCGGCTGCGCGTGAGGGTGACCTCTCGTCAGAGTGGTCAGTTCCGAAGCTGGAATTCATCCGTAACCCCCGCTCGGGGGATCGATCTTCGCGGACCTCCAGAGGCGATGTATATGGATAGATTTGGGCCCCGGGGGGTCAAGCTCAGGGGGATCACCCCCCCGCCTCGCACCACCGGCGCGCCCCAACTGGGCCACCCGATGGCTGAATATGATGCGATGGTAGCGGCGTGCGCGCCTTGTGGCGTCCCCAGAAGACCCCCCGGGCCACGCGCCAAAAAACAAGTCTTGGCTAAGTAGGACAACTATCCAGCTATCCCGCTGAAAACCGCAGGAAATTATTTGAAACCGACGAAGACCACCGAACACAGTCAGAAAACAGTGAAAGACCGCCGAAGATCGCGGGAAGACCACAGAAGGCAGCCTAGGGTTGGTGGGCAGCAAGGGGTCCATCGTCGACCGCGTCACCTCTTGCCTAGTGTCACTCTGGCTTGTACCGTGCAGCCGCCCGTGGCCCAGAATCGGGCATGCGTTGAAGGATCTGACGCTTCAGAAACGGCCGATCGTGAAAGGGTGAAACGATCCCAGTGGTGTGGACGTATTCATGCAGCAGTCCCAGTCTGCCTCCCGTGCAGAAAGCATTGCTCTGGATCTGGCGCAGGCGTGGGTTCAACGAGTTGGACAACGTTTTCGGGGAACAGCGTGGCAGAGTCAGGAGGGATGCCGTGGGTGTTTCACCAGGCGACTCGACGAGGGAAGCGTCGTAGCAAAAAGCGCTCCCGCGGTGTAAGCAACCAACGCTGGGGTCGACACGACACGAACCCGCCGCAGGGTCACTCTTGCGTGTGGCCGGTGCGTGCGGCGGGGCGGGGTGTCGGCGCGGCGATGGGCCCCCCGAGGTGCAGTGCGGCTGCCCCCCCGGCCTGGGCGGGACGCTCGGCGAGGCGGCCTTGCTGCAGGCATGGCCCATCGGGTCAGGCACTCGTTCTCGAGGGACCTTCCCGGGGCCTCGGAGACCCTCGATGTATACACCTCGCCCCCACAACCCGTCGAACTTGTCAAGCAGACACGACGGTATGTTTTTCGTTATGCTCGGCCTCCGAGAACCCTTTCTCGGACTTGGCCTCTGGACCGTCTCTACACGACTCGGGATGAACAACTAGCCCCGGGGAATAGGTGTAGACCTCTGGGGGTCGACGTCATGACAAAAATTATGACGTCGGAGGTCTGGGTCGTCTGGTCGGGCAAGGAGCCAAGAAGCTTAGCGAAGGCGTTCGGCGTAGAGAGTATGGAGGCTCGCGCGTCACACAGGTTGGGAAGCTGGGGCGTCTACACACCCAGCTCTCTGGCCGACCAGACGGCGTGCAGTGCACACCGAGCCCCTGCCAGTCCCATCCAGCGTATGTGTTCGGTTCTTGTGCGAATCTGCTACTTCACTTCGACTCTAGCTGGACTCGAACCCGACTTAACTTCGACTCAGGCCCGACCCACGTCGACGGACGCTTTGCGCAGCACCGGCGCATGAGTGGAGCGGGTGGCATGGCCGTGGATAAATGGGGTGGCGATGGCTGGGGGGCAACGAGGGCTGCAGAAGAGAAGCCCTCCAGGGTCCCTAGAGGCCTAAAGGGGCCCTTTCAGGCCCAGAGGAGGGCCCCCAGGGTTCGAGAAGTGCACCTTTCCCCCCCCCGCCGTTGTTCGCCCCCCCCTGTGGCGACCCCCAAGTAGCTACAGGAAGGCCTCAAGAACGAGCAGCTGAGCCTGGGCGCGCAGGCGAGCGCGCAGGCGAGCCACGCTGTGCCCGCGCAGCGCCCGGAGCCGCCCCGGTGGCCTCCTGCGCAGGAGGGCGAGAGGGCGCCAACTTCTGGAGGAGGGCCAGGAGTGATGGGCCTGTTTTCCACCACCACTGCCACCATAAGATGTAGGGGGGAAGGAGGTGGATGAGAAGGAGGAGGAAGAGGACGAAGTGGAGGAGGAGGAGGAAGAGGAGGAGGAGGAGGAGGAGGAGGAGGAGGAGGAGGAGGACGAGGAGGAGGAGGAGGAGGAGGACCCCCTCACCCTCCAACTTATGATGGTGGTGGTGGAAAACAGGCCCATTAAGGAGCGGTTTTGACTCCCGGGCGACACCGGGCGTCACCAGGGCGGGGGGGGGTCCCGTGGGGCCCAAGAGGCGAGATATCCTGCTCAAGGTCGGGCCTTCACGCATCCTCCCGTATATCCTTCCCCCCTCCTGCCCGGGGCTCAAGAGACGGGGGTCAATGCAAACGGGGGTCAGACGGAGCGTTGGGCTGGATCATGCAGGATCCTGCCAGGGCCGCATTGACCTGGGCTTGGGTGCAGGATCCTGCGTCATCTTCCAGGATCTTGCAAGGCCCGACTGGCTCGGGTTTGGATTGACCCAGGTCAGTAGGTCCCCCATTCCCTCCTCCTCATCCCACCGTCTCCATTGTTTATCCCAGCGTGCCTGTCTTCCTGATCCTTTCTCCTCCTGCTCCTTCCTTCCTGGGGGGGGGAGGGGGGCTCGTAGCGTCACGTGTCCCGCGGGCGCCGTCTGGGAATGTCTAGGAAGAACCAGAGACACCCCAGAGGTCAGCACGAATCGAGACGCTACCTGGGGGAGGGGGAGGGGCGCGGGCGGCCAGGGCCGGTAACGGGCGCTGACGCGAAACCTTGACAAACGCCCTCCAGCTGAGACAAGGGCCGCCAGACCGGCCACACGCCCCAGACGACGAGCGGCGACGAGGCTGCGACGTGGCGTCGACGGCAAGCACATCGCCGCCAGACCGGCCACATGGCCCAGTTCCTTAGAGCACGAGTTAGAGCCCCTGAGTGCAAGCACTGTTCGGGGAAAATCGGGCGGGGCCAGGACGAGGATAAATCCGTACCAGAGCGTTCCAGAACGCTCTCACAGCGTTCCAGAACGCTCTGAGAAGGCCGCGGCGCCCGAGACATCCTCATCCTCCAGAGCCGTCTGATCCCAGAGAGGCTCGATTTCTCTTCGCCCGAGTTTATCCTCGTCCTGGCTTCGTCTAAGAGAAACGCCCTCCCGTCGCCTCCACGGGGCGCTCCAAAAAGGGCTTCGAATTCAGGGATTGGAGAACTTGTCATCTCTTCCTCGGCGGAAGGCGGGCGGAAGCAAAACGAGGCCGCCTCCGCCGGCGGAAGGCCGGCGGTAGGCGGAGGAAGTAAAAGATGCGCCCCAAAGAGATGTAAACGTTTTTTGGGTTCAGGGTTTCTGGAATCCGCCAAATGGGGGGGGTGAAGAAAAGGGCCCGAGCGGGGCCCTTTGTAGGGACCCTTCTGGGCCCCTGCTGGCTTCAAGAGGGGCCCTCAGGGGCCCCTGCAGGGCTCTTTTCTTCACCCCCATGTAGGCCACCCCACATTATCACCCGCCCGATTATCCGAGGCGGCATTTACACATGACCACCGCCTGGAGGATCAATTTCGGGGATCTCGGCAGGCGGTGGATATGGACATATTCGGACCCCCGGGGGCCAAAACATATCCATATCCACCGCCCGCTGGGGCACCAGGACGTCGGTTCCCAGGCGGTGGATATGGATAAATCCCCGCCTCGCAGATTGAGCAGACTTGACGTTTGAGAGATGCAAGAAATGGGGCCGTCTGCGCCGACATTCGCGCGCAAGCTGCCCGCGTAAGGTCTCGCGTAAGCGCCTTCGCTTCAAAAGTGGCGTGCCGCGCTGGCGGCCCGCGTAAGCCACCAAGGCAGGTCGTTGTGCCATCTCGCATCTGACCCCTTCTTGATCGTCGCTCAAGTGGGATGGGCGGGAGAGCCGCCGTTGCCTCAATTGGCCCTCCTCCGAAATTGCACGGCAGGCACACCACACACACACCACACACACACACCACACACACACACCACACACACACACACACACACACACGAAAAAGGCATGCCGACGGGGGCCCCACGACGCTTGTTTGTCTCCCGATGGGGCCGCAGAGGCCTCGGGCCCGAAGCCCAGAGTCGGCAAAGTATGTCCTCTAGATCTTTCATAGCATTTCTCACCGTTTCGATTTTCGGGCGGCGCCCTGACTAAGGGGGCAACCGCGGGGGCTCCGTTCCTGGTCCGTCTGGGGGGGGCGTGGTTTTTTTATCCATAGAAGGCATGCTTCTGGGACGTGACAGCGATGCGTGAACGAGTAGGGCTGAGTGTACAGTATGTGAGTCTTCTCATTGGCAAGCGAGCTCGAACTTTGCGAAACGGTCTTCAAAGCTGCCTCACAACAACAGATGTCCCACCGCATGTCCTTACTGGGCCCACTCACACCGATCCTGGCCAGGCCGGCCCTCGGCACAGGATCTGCGCATGTGCCTCCCGGTGCCAGGTCAGAACGGGGCGCACTCCGGCCCTTCGCCCAGGATGGCCAAGGCCAGGATTGGTGCAGGTGCATCGTCCAGAGGTCTCCAGGATGGGGTCCTAGCAGATGGGGTCGGAGGGTCGCGCCGCATCGCCGACGCATCGGCGACGCCAATGGTGCATCGGCGCCGTCGGCGTGGAGGAGTTCGGGCTCCATATTGAGACGCACCGGCGATGCGGCGCGATCTTTCGACCCCATCTATTCGGACGCCATCTTGGAGGCCTAGACAGTTGGCGCCCTCCGAAGAGGGTCGCTAGCCATCTGAATAAGCAGTACGTACGTGCTCTGAGGAGGTCCTCCATCTCAGTCTGAGCATCATCGATCTTGCCTCATCTTCGGGGGCGGCACGCTTTGGGCTGGCCGCTAGGACGCGCGGGTGAGTCGTTGTCGCACCCGCCTTTTCGTCCCGCTCGTCCTTCGCGTCTCGTCGTCGGACTTAGTACAGTGACCTGCGCTGGGCTTTTAGCACGGCCACTCCCGCCAACGATGCGGCAGTTGTGGCCACACAAATTCATCCAATGCTCGTTGGAGGCAGCGCGGCCGCCTCAGGGCGCCGTTGACGCCTCGCCTCTGAAGCCCTGACCGTTGCTCCAGCGCCCCTGGGCTCGACAAGGGAGTGCCCGAACTCGCAGGCGTCACTCACAAAGGAACCCCAACGCACCAGGAGGAGGAGGAGGAGGAGGAGGAGGAGGAGGACGAGGAGAGGAGGAGGAGGAGGAGATGAGGAGGGGGAGAGGAGGAGGAGGAGGAGGAGGAGGAGGAGGAGGAGGAGGAGGGTCACATCTCTCGCCAGGGACCCCCCCCGCCAGCGTGACCTCAGCGTCCTCAGGGCCCCCTCCCCCTCGCGCTCGCGCTCGCGCCTCCACAGCGTCTCTGGGCCGCGCGGCGGGCGGGCGGACGCGCGCACACACGCGCACGGCGCATCGGCGAGCGGACCCAGGCCAACCCCTCCCCGAGACAGAGCGAGTTCATCCTAGTGTCCAGGCCTTCTTGGCCAAAAGCCAGCGTACGCCGAGCTTGGGCCCCAGAGTGGGCCTGGCCAGGGTCTGTGTAGGCGCAGAGCTGGCGCCCTTCTGCTTGTCTGAAGTCATTCAAAAAATCCAATTCGTTTTGAATTCACACAAAACCATCCACTTTGAAGTCAAAAGCACGGCGCCCTCCTGCTGTTCACTGCCTCTCCGATGACAGCAGAAGCACGAAAACCGCAGCGATGTTTTGAAAGAGATGCGGAGGAATGCAACTGTTTGTTGATCTCGAGTTGGCTAGGTGCCGCGCCCACCCAGCCTCCTTCCCGTTTCCCTGAAAGTTGATTCGGTGCCGCGCACACCCGGGTGATAGGGACCACCCTCCTCGCTACCTGCCCAACGTGCATTGAACGAAGCGCCTGGGTGCAACCGAGCCTGGCAGCTCGCAGAAGAAAGAGCAGGAGGAGCCAGAGCAGGGAGGAGGAGGAGGAGAATGGACCAGGAGGGGGAGGAGGATGGAGAGGAGGGAGCGATGAGAGGAGGATGAGGAGGAAGGAAGAGAAGGTAGAGAAGGAGGAAGGCGAGAGAGAGAGAGAGAGGGATAGGAGGTGGCCTGTTGGCTCGAGGGCTGTTTAGCCAAGCCCGGCTCTCCGGCCACAGCACCCCCCGTGACGTGCCGCCCCCCAGTCACCGCGCCGCACACGGGGCACACGCGGCTGTCATATCGCTCGTGCTCCAGCCAACGCACCTCTGCAGGCACGCGCGCCGTCACCCGGGCTACTGACCAGGCCCGAAAGCACCCCCACAAGCTTGCCCCCCACGGCGCAGAGCCTATCCCCGGAGCAAGCGGCGGACGGGGCGGCAGTAATTCGCGATATGGGTCCAGACCTTCCTCGTTGAGGGCAGCCAGCTGAGGCAGGAACTATGCAGGATGCACGCGCACAGCTGAAATCAGGACCCTGTGCTTCCCAAACCGCCCGCTTCCTCGCCTGCGGAGAGGCACGCTGAGCCCGCCCTTCTACAAGACTTGCACGCTGGATGGTCTCGCGCCCACCCCGAGCAGGCGAGCGCGGTAGCGAACGCCTTCCACGGCTGCCATCCGGACCAGATTTGGATCGCCCACGCCGCCGGTCTTTGGCCTCGTCGTGGCTCTCGTACCGTGCGCCGCGGCGCCATCGGAGCCAACTCTCCGACCTGCTTCCCGAGACCTTCATGGCACCCGGATCCGCGACGCACTGGGCCAACCAACTAGGCCATTCCGGCGGCCTTGGGTCCGAGCCGAGGCGGCAGCAGGGCACGGCGCAAGGCGGCGACGGACGGGGCGGACTGGCGAGGGAAGGGCAGCGGAAGGGAGAGGCGGCATTGACCCTCGGGCCGTGGCCTGCGGAGGCGGCATTGCTCCACGGGGCGTGGCCTGAAGGAGAGGGGAAGCGGCAGTGCCCCTCGGGATACGGCCTGGATGGAGTGGGAGGCAGGCCAAGCAGCACCACGCGCGACCTTGCCCGCCCGTCGGCCGTGCCAGCCGCACCAGCGAGGGGGTCGGAGAGGGGAGAGGCTGCATTCACTCTCGGGCCGTGGCCTGCGGAGGCGACATTGCCCCATGGGAGGAGGAGGAGGAGGAGGAGGAGGAGGAGGAGGAGGAGGAGGAGGAGCCCCTATCTGTAGGGGCACAGACGGTGCGTGCCTGGGGCCGCCGTCGTTGGCTGGTGGGTTAGCGTCGCCGCGGCTGGGCCTGGCTCGTTGGGTCTAAGGCTCGGGGGTCCAGGGTTTCCCGTGTGCTGGCGTCGCCTGTCGGTCGTGCTGTCCTTCTTGTTCCTTTCTTCTCTGTGCATGGGCTTCCTTTTACCTTTGCCCTGATTTGTTGATCGATAGGTGATCGATACATATATCTATATATATAGAGAGATAGATAGGTGTATGCCCGGGGGGGGGCCCGGCTGCTGCCTCTGGTCGCCATGGCGGCCCCCCCGGGCCATTTTTGGCACCCATCACGAGGATCGTGGCCCCCTCGCCGAAAATTCGAGCCCTCAGTCTCAAGAAGCCTCCGAAGAGGCCACAAGAGGCCCCAAGTGGTCCCCCGAGGGCCCCAAGAGGGCCCCTGAGGGCCCCAAGAGTGCCTTCAAGAGGCAAACATCGGCACAGTTCCTTTGTAAAACGTTTATTCTCTTGCACAGGGTGTCTAGAGCTCCGACCACTTTATTTCGGCACCGCACCCCCCCCCATCATCATCATCATCATCATCATCATCATCATCATCATCATCATCATCATCATCATCATCATCATCATCATCATCATCGTCATCATCATCATCATCATCATCACCATCATCCTCACCATCATCACCATCATAATCACAATCATCATCATCATCATCATCCACATCATCATCATCATGCGCCCCCTCCGTCTCAGCGCCCTCCCGCGGCTCCAGCGCCCGCCCAGTGCCCCCTCCGCCCCGACCACTTTATTTCGGCACCGCACCCCCCCCCGCTCCGCCCCCTCCCCCGCGCCGTCTCAGCGCCCCCGCGGCTCCAGCGCCCGCCCAGTGCCCCCTCCGCCCCGACCACTTTATTTCGGCACCGCACCCCCCCCCGCTCCGCCCCCTCCCCCGCGCCGTCTCAGCGCCCCCCCGCGGCTCCAGCGCCCGCCCAGTGCCCCCTCCGCCTCGACCACTTTATTTCGGCACCGCACCCCCCCCCGCTCCGCCCCCTCCCCCGCGCCGTCTCAGCGCCCCCCCGCGGCTCCAGCGCCCGCCCAGTGCCCCCTCCGCCACGACCACTTTATTTCGGCACCGCACCCCCCCTCCCCGCTCCGCCCCCTCCCCCGCGCCGTCTCAGCGCCCCCGCGCGGCTTATGTTTCGCGACGCACCCCTCCCCCCCCCCCAGTGGGACCCTGGGACCCCAGCGCCACCAGTCCCCAGCGCGCCAGTGCCCCCTCCGCCCCGACGTTTTTATTTTTCGCGTCGCACCCCTCCTCCCCCCAGTGGGACCTCCCCAGCGCTCCCCAGTGGTCCCCAGCGCCCCCCAGTGGGGCCTCCCCAGCCGCGCCCAGTGCCCCCTCCGCCCCGACGATTTTATTTTTCGCGACGCACCCCTCCCCCCCCCCAGTGGGACCTCCCCAGCGCCCCCCAGTGGCCCCCAGCGCCCCCCAGTGGGGCCTCCCCAGCCGCGCCCAGTGCCCCCCTCCGCCCCGACGATTTTATTTTTCGCGACGCACCCCTTCCCCCCCCCCCAGTGGGGCCCTCCCCAGCGCCCCCCAGTGGTCCCCAGCGCCCCCCAGTGGGGCCTCCCCAGCCGCGCCCAGTGCCCCCTCCGCCCCGACGATTTTATTTTTCGCGACGCACCCCTCCTCCCCCCAGTGGGACCTCCCCAGCGCCCCCAGTGGTCCCCAGCGCCCCCCAGTGGGGCCTCCCCAGCCGCGCCCAGTGCCCCCTCCGCCCCGACGATTTTATTTTTCGCGACGCACCCCTCCCCCCCCCCCCACCAGTGGGACCTCCCCAGCGCCCCCCAGTGGTCCCCAGCGCCCCCAATTGGAGCCTCCCCCCTCCTCCTCCACCTCCTCCTCCTCCCCCTTCCTTTTTTGTGCAAGAGCCATGGCACACGTGCCACTTGTTTTCGTCATCCTCGCTGGCTTCGTCTTCACAGTTCCCCAGACGCCCCCGCGGAGCCCCAAGACAGCCCAAGAGAGGCCCAAGAGGGCCCCAGACGGCCCAAAGGATCGGCCTGGCCTGTGGGGCTCACCGAACCCCCCGAGACGGCCCAAGAGGCCCCGAAGCCGGCCCAGGAGGCCCCCAAGACGGCCTCAGGGAGGCCCAAGAGGGCCTCGATCGAAATCATGTTCCTGGAAGCCGCTCCGCGAACATGATTTCTGGGTTCCGAGGACGCCCAAGAGGCCCACAAGACAGCCTCAGCGAGGCCCCAGAGGGCCCGAGATGGCTTGAAGATGGCCGAAGAGGGCCCCGAGAGGGCCTTCAAGAGGCAAACATCGGCCCATTGCCTTCGTAAAACGTACATGTTCAGCATTATTGCTGGCTTCGTCTTCGCAGTGCCACAGAAACAGCAGCGTCGGCCTGTGGGGCTCACCGAACCCCCCGAGACGGCACAAGAGGCCCCGAAGCCAGCCCAGGAGACCCCCAAGACGGCCTCAGGGAGCCCAGATACAGAGTATGTCTATCGAATGTGATGACGTTCTTGGTCGGATTCCAATCGGAAAAAGAAACAGATCCCAGGTCCAGGGGATCCCTATTGAGTTTGGATCGGGCTCTCATTTGGTTACAATAGAAACGGGA